AGCCTTGAAGAGAAGGATTAGGGGGTGTTGGTTGATGAGAAGCTCTACACGACTCAGCAATGTGCATGCGCAGCACAGAAAGCAGCCACATCCTGGGCTGCATCAAAAGCAGTGTGCCCACCAGGTCAAGGGATGTGATTCTGCCCCTCTACTCTGCTCTCATGAGACCCCACCTGAAGTGGGGCCCCCAACACAAGAAGGACCTGGAACTGTTGGAGCAAATTCAGAGGAGAGCCATGAAGATGGTCAGAGAGCTGGAGCACCTCTCCTTTGAAGACAAGCTGAGAGAGTTGGGATTGTTCAACCCGGAAAAGATTCCAAGGAGACCTTAGAGCAACCTTCCAGTACCTAAAGGGGACTAAAGAGAGCCAGAGAGGGACTTTTTACAAGGGCAGTAGTGACAGGACAAGGGGGAATGGCTTTAAACTGAAAAAGGACAGGTTTATTTTCGATATTAGAAAGAAATTCTGTACTGCAAGAGTGGTGAGGCACTGGAACAGCTTGTCCAGAGAACTTGTGGATGCTCCATCCCTGGAAGTGTTTGAGGCCAGGCTGGATGTGGATCTGAGCAACCCAGTCTAGTGAAAGGTGTCCCTGCCCCTGACAAGGGGGTCATAACTACATGATGATTGAGGCCCATCCCAACCCCAACCATTCTAAGATTCTGTGACTCTGTGATACAGATCTGGTAGTGATTCAGTTTGATGTGCAGCAAGGTTTGGGTTGTGTGATCTTTTTGTGGTATTTTTGTCTCATCCATAGTGTTTGTGTAAGATTTTCAGCACTTCTCTGATACTCTTTTGACAGTAGTAGATCATTAAATCTGATAACAGATGTGTTTTACATCAGTTTGAATGCTACAGTTCCTCAATTTCCACCTCAAAGCAGGCAAGATTTTGGAAGTTGCAGATTGCTAATCACAGTTTAATTTTTAGTAATTTCTTTTTGTGTATATGCAGCTGCTGAGAACTGAAAGTTTTTTTTAGAAAGCTCACAAATATAGCTGCATATTTGGATTAGGGAGGGATGAACAGCTGAGCTGGAAATTGGAAGTATTGTTCTAGTTTTGCTGAACTAAGGTAAAATGCAGCAGTTTTTTTGTTTCTTTTCTTTTAGTAGTTGTGTTCTTTATAACCTTCCTAGCAACTGTGTAGCTTTGTCACATATGATGATGTTATAAATTATGTTTTAATATGAAAACAATGATGCTGTCTTGACAGTGTCAGGCTAATCCAGTAGTGCTGAAGCCCAGGGACTAGTTAGGCAGGACCCGTCTCTTGACAGCTGGATAAAATTTACTCTGACACACAACTGAACTGGTTTTAAGGAAGGAAGTGTTTTTTGTTTGTAATTTCTAGATAAATATGTTTCACACATTCCATTCTGTTCAGTGCATGGATACAGTGTTTCTCTGCATAACCCAGTTCTGGATTGCTAAAATCTTTTAGTCCATTTCAGATGTCTGTCAGGCAAAAAGTGAAGAAAAACAGCTCATGGAGGTCTGGAAGTCTCTTCTTTCTTCTCTGAAAGTTCAAGGTCCATTGATATGGAAAACATCCTTGTGAATGCTGGCTTGTGAACACTTCTCCACATGTTGGTGTGGCATATAGCATAGTGATACATACCCACATGGTAACAGGTTGGAAAGACACCACCTCATTTTCCAAATACTTTATTGCCTACAAAGAAAGAAAACCTCATTTTAAGCCTAGTTAATGGGGCCATTTTCTAATGCACACAAACAGATATTCCTTAACACATTTAGCTTTTCCTACATAGAGCTCTTACTGTGAATAGGTATTTGTGATCTTTGTTCGGGAAACTAGACTAAATGGAGAAGTTCCAGTTGAAAGCAAATGAAAGGCATTGTGCTCATCCCAGCCTTTTGCTACCTAAGAAGTGGGGGGAGTGGAAATGGCCATAAGTCCTCACTGAGGAAAAATGCTCTTCTGCCCCAGAACAGAGAGACTTCTACATCTGCCCCACATCTGGCACCACTGTCTGTGCTCCTCCTCATTGTTAGACTTCATTTTTATGGTATCTCAGCACTGCTGTGTTGCTCTACAAATGCTTGTCGGCAAAGAATTTGCTTTATATAAACTCAGCACACTCCAAGAGAATATTCCCAGTCAAACACCACTGGTTTTTTACAGTTCATCATTTCAGACTATTTTATGCAGCAGTTAAGGTTTGTATGGGGGTTATTTAGTTTTCTCAGCTCTGTCAGTGGGCATGGGAGGGCTGCAGTGAGGCAGCCACCAGGTCACTCTGTATCCATCTGTGTTCAGAGCTGGCCTGTCAAGGGACATGTCTGAACTGCTGGATGTTTCATGAGCACCTGTTTACTTTCCAACTGGTGTGCACAGGTTTCCATGTAAAAAGTGAGTTATGGAGCAGATGCTGAGAGCATTTTGGTGTGCCTGGCTCTCCTGCCAAGGTGGTGACTTCCCACACATCTCAGGCACCACACACATGGTGCCATTTCTGCCCTTCTCAGGGGCCTGCTGAGATCTGACCTTTGCACTGGTGTGGGGAGGTAGGAGGTCAGAGGCTGCCTGCATAGCAGAGAGGACAGCTGCTCACCTCCCTTCCCAGGCAGGTGGGATGGCAGTGTGGGCAGCAGTCATTCCCTCCCCTACTCCAGACACCACTTAGATGAGCAGAGAATGACCTGGGGGTTGAAGTCTGCTGCATGAAAAAACCTTACATGGCTTTTTTCCTTAAAGGGAGTCAGGGATCATGAGCATGACCCTGCTCACATTTCAGGTCCTTCCGTCCTCCATGGAAAGTATCTCTGTGTGCTGTCTCTTTGTCAGAGTAGATTGAAAGGTACACATGTAGCCCTGTGCAGTACCTTTTTAATACAGTGAATTCTTAACTTTAGTAAGGCATTGGTGTAATGTGAGGAATCAGAGTTGTCTTAGGAGGAGCTGTGTGGATTTTCCTGAGCCTGGTTGATGCTGGCTGACAGCAGTGCATTCCTGTGCAGAGCACAGTAGCTCATATTCTAAAGATGACAGTTCAGGTTGGGAGGAACCCCCATCATCGTCACAGACCCTTCATGAACTGTGGGGGATAGGCTATTGTTCATTAGCTCTACATTTTGGCCTAACTAGGGCCTAGAAATGTAAAGTGATAGGGCAGTTATGAAATTATTGGAAGGCTAACTACTGCTGCTGTTCAGTTTAGCTTGAATTTAGGTCCATATTCACATTGGTATTAGCTGGTTTGTTGCATAGCATAATTGTCAGATTCATCCCACCGACTGTTTTTGTATGGAGTAAGTTCTGTTTGCCTTAAAATATTAGAGTATTTTACGCTGTTGCCTATTTTTTGTTCCTGTAAGGCACTAAAAGTATAAACCTCCTGTAACGTGTATATATATATATATATATACAGGTATGTATACCTGTAAGGTATAAACCTCCACAGGTTTGTTATTCTCATTAGCAAAGACAGTTTATCCCCTTATATTGTTACAATCTGATATGTCTTACTAAGTATTTTTTTAAGCCTCATAAAATGCCAGTACAACAAAAATACTGTACTGGTATTTCTGTTAAGCAAAAAAAAAATTCCTGTGCCCTTCATAACCTGCTAAAGGTCAATATATCTAAATGGATTCTTTATCAAATTACAAAACTAGTCATCTTATTATATATTTACATATGGTCTGAAATAGTAAAGGTTTTTATGCTGCTTTGATTTTCATGAAATTTTATATGTATAAATTTCAGAAACAAGTAATTGTTTGATCTGGTATTTGGCAGATGCTGTTAAACATTCAGACCGGTGTTATTTCCTGAGAGAAGCAAGTTAGCTGTTGGGCCTTTAACTGTGCTCCTTGCCTGTTCTGAATTGGGTGATAGACCTCCTACTTGTGCTAAAACCATCACTTTGCTGCTAAATTCCTTCTGATATGACAGAGTGGAGCTCAAACAAGAGGCAAAGTCCAGTGGCCTGAATCCTGCCTGCCTTCTGCTCTTCCACTGACACTGGCTGAAGAATTATGGCAGATACAGTATAAATGGAAATGTTTATTTATTTTCAGAGATATTTGGACAACAGGAAATGCAATCTGTCTAGCTTGTTCCCTAGAAGCTGCAGTATGTTAAAAAAGTCAGATGTATAAAATGGGGTTAAATACTTCACATATTTTAGTGTAGAAAAATACATTGTGAATTCTAGAAGAGTTATTAACTATGTGCTGTGAACGTAGCTGCTGTAACAAAGCCCTTACTTTCTGTAGTTTAAAGGTTGATACAAAAGGATCTTTGTTTTGTAATGACATTAGTCATGATTTTTCAGGGGTTTCTACCATTCAGATCTAGCAGAAGAAAAAAATCAAATCAAATGTGAGAAGCTGAAGAGAAGCTTGACATACTCAAGGAAATCTTACCAAGCTTGGGAAATGGTTGCATAGTCTTGCTGTTAAGAAAATGTACGCTAGAATTCATGATAAATGTTACAGGGGGCATATATTAGTTCATAGCATCTCTGTATTTATAATTTAATATGTATTGTGCTTGAAGCATGTGTAGTCTATGTACTGAGATGTTTTTAATTTCTTTGGGTAGTGATATTTCGATAGATGCTCAATTCTTAAATAAACTTTGGCAGTGAATGATTTGGCTCCTATGTTTGCCTTAAAATGCATTAAGAGTAAAGTTGCATTTTTAACACCCTGTGTATCTCTGTTAAATTTCCTGCTAAGAACCTTCAGGAGCAGGTCTTTGAGAAACACTCTTTCTAGAGAAAATCCCGATGATTTAAATCAAGTGGATTTTGAAGTGGACTTGTCCCTATCAGTTTTGGTATTTACTTGTTTACAGCCTAGAAAAGGTAGCTAGAGATGAACAAAGGAGCTCTTCAAAGCCTTTCTGCAGAAAACATGTTTTAACATCATTGGAAACACAGTAACAGGTTAAGACTCCCAAGCATTGGTCTTTCTTTAGCCAAAGCATCTATTAATATAGCTGCTTCTTGTAATAAAGAGGGAGGTCTGGAGGGCTCTGAGCGGAGTGACGGAGAGGGAGGGGATTTAGGACTAACAGGTGGTCCTGAGACGTGCTGGCTGACGCTGAGCTCAGAGCGAGCACACTCTGTGTGGGTATTCATGAGCTTTCCTCTCTCCAACTGGATATATGTGCCTGTTGTTCCTGGTGTAGCTTTGGAGCCCTTTCAGCTATGGCAATAAGAAATGACTTGAGCAAAACTATCAGGAGGATAGCACGTTTTTTTTACTGGTTTCCTAAATCATTGAGCAGTTCGAGGAGGAGGACAGTAAAACTTCTCTGGAAATCTGCTGGTAAGTCTGCTGCTCTATTTCTTCAGCCTTCTTTTCCTGCTTAAAAAAAAAAAAAAATCAAAGGGAAAAAATATTAATTTCCATTCAACTGGTTAACTTTTTTGGTCCAACATTGTTTGCATTTTGCCATTCTTTGAGGCTCATTAGACAAAACCATAAAAATATTCTGGAAATGCAATAGAAGGTTCATGAGGCTTGTTCAGATAAAGAATTCTCTTGCAGATGCATAATTTATTCTTATTTGTGCCAGTGATATTTGGTGTCCTGTTTTTTGTAGACCTTTTTTCTCCCTTAGGTATGTATATAGGAGCTCTAATATGACTCAAATAATTACTTGAAAATTATTTAGAATTGCCTTGAGCTGTTAATTCGTCTAGAAGGCTGTGCAAAGACTGAACTGACTAAAGACCTCCATTAATTGTACCAGTGTTGACACAAAGCAGTGGGCAGCATTGAGAGGGCTTGTGTTCAGCAGTGATGCACTGGCCTTCACTTCCATTTTATCAGCTGAAATGCCTCTCAGCTCACCAGTTAGTAAAAGGCAGTGCTCCTCATGACAATTCAGTGCTCGATCCTTGTCCAGTCCTGGCAGAGAAGTGTTTGCATTTGTCAGATTAACAGGCTCATAAACACCCTTAAAGCCCAAATACTGTTTTGTTCCCTTAGCATGATCTGTTAAGGCCAGTGCTGAGGCGTATTCTCAGGGGGTTGGAAGAACACGCACTGCCATAGTGTAGGAAGCTGAGTTCTTTCTGTTCCTCTTAAGGGACTAATGGTACAAGATCAGTTTTCTTTTGATTGTGACTCTTTGGACCAAAATGGTGAACTTGTCAATTCTGCAAGTATTTTAACATTAATAGCAAATTTTTATTTGTATGGGATGGAATTTGTGTCATTTCCACAGTTGAGCAATTTAGTATTGTCCTTCAGATAACAATCTGTGACTCTTGAGATGGGAAGGACAAGTTGTAACTTCTGAAATCTGTCACAGAAACATTGTTGGGCCACATGTCTAAATGACATGGGACTTTTTCCCTTGGGAAGGAGACCACAGATTTCAAATATTGAGGGAAATCCCAGCTCATCGAAGTCTGTACAAAACTTTCCTTGATGAAGCTAGAGTTTTGATTAACCTCTCTTTGAATACTGGTAATCATCTCAAGTCCTCCTAATACATAAAATCATTGTGAGTCCTTGTAACACATCAGATCATTCCTGCTTCTCTTTTGTTACTGTAAAAAGTATCAATAAATGCTACTGAGAGCTTTAATTGCTAGCAGAGTTACACACGTGAAAATGTTTGCATGCATTATCTTTTCTTTCAGTAGTACAAAAAAATAATTGCATCCATGACATGTAACAAGAAACAATGTGAACTCTGAGTTCTTTAAAAATAATACTTTTTCTGAATTTTCTCCCATCTTCCTCTACATCTACTGGTTAGAATAAAATTTGCCTTTTTACTATTATTTTCATGTAAGTATCAGCATCTCTTTTGAACTGAATACTGTTTGAAGTGCCCTATATATCCTTTTCTACCTGTGCTGTGAGATGATTACCACAAAATTGTGGGTTTGATGGAAAAGTGTATTTTAACAGACAATTATATCTGAGCAGAAAAATCTCAATGTGAGAATTCGACTCAAACTTCACATAAATTTAGAGAAGCCAAGCTCATTGAGGACATCTGTAATAAACTGGAAGCTGAAGCCTGGTGCTCCTCACACAGGGAAGGGCATACAGCTCCTGCTTGCACTGATGTTTGCTCTTTAGTCTTTACAAAGACAGCGAGGGGCCTGAAACCTTAGCTACCCTGAAGTTCATGAACATTTCTGCCTTTTTCTTCAGTGTCCAGAATTCCACGTGGGTTCTTGACAAATTACAGAATTACTCACGTGCTTCCTCAACTCTGAAACACCACGTTTTTGTAACACTTAACCAAACCGTCCTTATGTCCTTCTGAGAGAGTTCTTCAACACATAAGCTTAGTCTGAGCAGTATTGACCATCCTTTGGTACACAAAGAGATTTATTCTTACCTCCAGCACACTAGAGTCTTCAACTCTTTCTGTGCCTCTGTCTTTCTTGTGGGTTTTACTCCAGGATTGGCACTAACAGAATTTTTTATTCAAGATGAGCCAGGACCCAGGATGAGGCAGCAGAACAATTCTGTATCACTGGGCTTATTCCACAGATGAATAACCCAGCTGACAATTAAAGCTTTCAATGATCCTTACTGATAGTTTTTAGCCACTTATGCTTTAATACAAAAATTAACATTTTAGCAACAACAAAAGAGAAACTTTCATGATTTGGATATGTTAGGAAGACCAGAGATTACATTTTCTAATATGCTTTGTGGTAGACTTTATGTGATATCATTTGTCATGTGAACCAAGAGGTGGGCACTCTGCCTCTGCATAGTACCCTCAGACTTGTTGCTTTTGTTCTGCTTCTGTCCTTTCATATCTCAGGATGCCTTGTCCTCTCTGCTTGACCCAGAAATAAAACCTGCCAAAGCATAACATTAGTTTTTAAGCATGAAAATGAATTCAGTACTGTTGTAGGTCACTCTGTTCGGGAAGTTGCATTTGGTGCAGTTTTAGAAAGAGCTATCAAAGCATAATTAGGTAGCTGTTCCTAAAAATCCTTAGTTTTCCAACCTGTCCTTGGATGGATACTTTGGGATTGTTGACCACGGACTTTTGCCTACAGCTAATATGTTCTTTTCTAAGTACTAAAAGAACGAAGAAAATTTGAGAGTGCTCTTCAATAGCTGGTTTTTATTAAATTGCTTACTAAAGGACTAAAAAAATATCCTAGACATGCTTCAGAGTATATTAAGTGTAGCTGATAATGTTTTAAGTGCATTTAGTTTAATCTAGGGTACATAAAATTTTATAAGAGGCTTAAACTGAGGGATGTAGTAGTTAGGCTTCTGGAACCTTTATTTCTTTGAAATATGTTTCCTACAACATCTTAATAGAATTTGTGTTGACACATCATGTGACTGGAAGTTTTATCATGATAAAGTACATACATACAGGGAGATATATTGAAAGACAAAAGAATTAGAAAAAATATGGAAGACCTAGATAAGACTATAGAAAGCAATGATCAAAAAAAAATCAAAATAGGCAAGTAGCTCCTATTTTCTCTGTCTTATAGCAGAGGAATAAGGTGAGGGGTGACAAATATAAAGGAGATAAAAAGATTTTTTATTATTTTAAATCCAGCATGTAATTAAATTGTAGGACTCATTACCAGAGGATGCTGCTGAGGTCAGGAATGTAACAAGATTTAAAGAGGGTCTGGAAGAATAAGAATATTCAATATTATGATAATTGAAGCTACAATAAGAGCTTTGAAAGACATAAATCTTTTTGCTTCAGGGTTTAAGCTAATTTTTAACAATTAGTGATTAATTTGAGATAATTGTGTGGTTCAAATCCCACAACTGTTACTGTTTCTTGCAGTTTCTTCTGAAGCAACTAATGCTATCTCTTGGCAGAGATGATTTTATGATCTGCATTGATTTAAACCTTTATGAAAATTTTCAGGCTTCTACAGGAGAAAACCAGATTTTGAACCTGTTTATAAAGGAATCCCATAATACCCTGTGGAAAACGTGAAAAGCACAATGCTTGCTGTCATTATGTTTTACTTTGCAAAACTGCCCCAGTGGCAAACCCTGTTTGCTCTGAAGCCATTATAATAAATAAATAACTACAGAAATCAAGTTGATCTGAGGTGGGTGATTTTGTGTTGTTGTGTTTCTTACAAAATCCTGCTGGTTCATGAAGAGCTTTATTCTCAGCTCTCAGCTGGGGAGAGTTCTCATCATTTTGAGCTACTGTTTCTACTAGGTACTTTAAAAGGCTCTTTCAGAGGGCAGAAAGTGAGGATTTATTGACAAAATCTTAAACTAACTGTATTTCATATAAATGGAATTTGATTTTTACCCTTTGCTGTTGGTTGGTGTTTTTGCAACTTTCCTTCTCTAGGGAGTTACCCCTTTAGTCTTCCTCTAATGTTAGAGTATTTTTATTGATTTTGAAGGACTTTTGGTCAGCATGGTCAAGCATCCAATATAAAATCACGTTTACGTAAGAATATATATTATGGAAAATAAATGGAAACCTTTACATGGGTATGATATCTTTTAAACTTGTTACTTCTTAAAAGAATTAACATATAAAACTTTAACTGATCATACAATAAGAAGAGTCAACTTTGAGCTATCTCTCTGAAATATATCCAGATGGCAAAATAGATCTATAGCACGTATGGGAAGGGGGAATATAATTTTAGTGTGATATGTCAATTTAGAATGTCTTAGTTTAAAATATTTGTAAATTCTTTTTTTTTTATTTTCATATGTCAATTTAGAATGTCTTAGTTTAAAATATTTGTAAATTCTTTTTTTTATTTTCACATTTGGCCAGGTAACATTTGATGGTTTATGCTGCAAGCACCTGTGTCCTTATGTGATCTCTTTAATTGGGTTATTCTGGGAATAGTTTGGGTATGTAGAGGTAGCATCCCTGTCATTTGGGAGACTACGTAGCTGGGAAATTAATAAACAGATAATGCCACTGTATTTCTGTGTTCTTGTCAAAACCCAGCTGGTGAAAGCCATTGCCTCCTGGCTGCCTCAGACCAGTGGCATGTCACACCTCTGCAGTCTCTAGAGTCAGGTCTGTGTCTTCTGCACAGATACTGCAACTGTCCAGTGAGCATCTATAAGTCTCCTGTGTTTTTAGCTGAAAAAAGTTCACCTGGTCATCCCCACAGTTCACTGAGGCCCTTACATATCTGGGTTCACCAAGGCTCTTGCAGGCCAAGCTTTCAGGGCTTGCAGAGGGGTACTCAGAAGGAGAGTGGAAGTGATGGAAAGAGTTTTGGCCTAACACAGATGATAAATGGAGTGCAGAGGCATTTGGGAACTGTGGCTCTGGAGCATTCAAGCTCGTGTGTGTGGATAAGATGATTGCCTCCAAG